ATATTTTTATTAATGTTATTTATAATATTCATTAATATTAACAATTGACCTGTTTATGTTATTAACTTTACCTTGTTTTGCAATAAAAATAATTATTTTCTTCCCTTTTTTGCCCTCTTTACCTGTCCTAAAATCCAAAAGTAATTCAAAGCTTATTTTTGTAATGAAGCTCTGACAAAGCTGGACTCGTATTTTGACCTTATTTACCACGAGTTTTATTTTTTATTTTTTAAAATAAAACCCTGTTAAGTAAAAACTATTAGTGACAGCTTCATCAGAGACAGAAGCTCAGAGAAACAGTCTGTCTGCGGTCAAAGTGACCCAGGAAGTTTTGGTCTTGACCCTGAAGCTGGTTCATTTTGAACCCCCAAGACYTTGGGGGAGGGGCTTATCTGACCCAGGGACAGCAGGAGGGTGAACCTGAACGGGCATTTCTTAAAGAAGCTTCAACTCAAATGGAAAAACTAAAAGAAAAATTGTAACATTTTCTACTTTTTATTTATTTATTTTTTTACACATTAACGTCCCTCTTGCTGCCCTTGGGTCAAAATGACCCCTGCAGACTCAGGGTTGCAGGTTGTTCCTTAAAGCTGCTTTAACTCAAACTGAAACGCCCAAAAAGATTTGTAAAGTCAGTATTATTTTTTACATGTTGACCCCCTTTCTGCTACCCTTAGGTCAAAATGACTCCTGAGGCCGAAGTGGTTATTTTCACCTAAGGACAGCAGGAGGGTGAACCTGAACATGTGTCCCTTAAAGTTGCTTTAACTCAAACTGAAACACTGAGAAAGATTTGCAGAATTAGCCCCACGTTAAAGTCCGTCCTGCTGCCCTTGGGTCAAAAAGTCTCTGAGATGTCAGCGTTAGGGGTCATTTAGACCCCAGAACAGCAGTAGGGTTGACAGAAACAACATTTTTGTTCCTCCCTTCATCAAATCTGAAAGGATTAGTATCTTTTGTACATTTAAATGTCCACAATTGTTTCTTTAATACTGACATTTTGACCCAAGGACAGCAGGAGGGTGAACCTGAACAGGCGTTCCTTAAACATGGTTTAACTCAATCTGAAACACTTAAAGAAGTTTTTTACATTTTCTGGGTTTTTTTTACACGTTAATGTCCCTTCTGTCCTTGGGCCAAAATAACCTGAGGCCACATTGGATTATTTTGACCCAAGGACAGCAGGAAGTTTTACAGAGTCAACGTTTCTCTGCCTTAGTTAATAAAATCAGATGATTTTTAGTTTTTCATAGATTTAAACTTCTAGGATTGTTTCTGTAATGAAAACAGACGTTTTGACCCAATGGCAGCAGGAAGGTAAACCTGAACATGTTTTCCTTCAAGTTTCTTTAATTCAAACTGAAATGTTAATAATGATTTGAAAAATATTTGTTTTGTTAATGTCCTTCCTGCTGCCCTTGGGTCAAAATAACCAGAGGCCTCAGGTTAGGGCCAGGGGTCATTTTGACCCAAGGGCAGCAGGAGGGTTAAAAGAGTTTATTTCTGTGCCTCACTTCATCAAATCAGAGGTGATTTTCAGTTTTTCACATAATTTAAACTCCAGGATTGTTTCCTTAATTTGGTCAGTTGTTTTTTTTAATAATATTTTTTATTTTAATGCTTTATTTTTTTTTACTTGGTGCAGATTTTTAGTCTTCTATAAATAACAGTATTTTCTC